ATCTCTAGCCTGTTAGATGGAAGTAATCAACATATCTTGGCTGTGTTGTGTAATATGATATATGCAATGACAATACGGCAACCTTGTAACTTGGAAAAAAAGTGTGCCAGAAGATATATCTAGACATATGAATAACACTTGCAAAAATTCTTTACTGAGTATATATGGGTAACACTTTTGGAGAGTTTGTAGATTTAGAAATCAAGAACTGGCACTGTGTTTATTGTATATTAACAACTTTCTTCAATAAAGAAATATTATTTCTAGGACAATCTCCCTGATAATGTGACAGATACTGATTATATAAGGCAAAGCTAATAACTCCCTTATAGCAAGACCTCCTAAGAAAAGAGTCATGACGTGCTCTTCAGTATTATACTACAATGTCTGAAAAATGGCTCTGCATCACAGATGATGTATGCTTTGATAGCATAGATGCTCCTCTCCCTTTAGGCTACCTTGATTACTGATGCTAGAGTGGACTGAGTGGAACCAGCATGACTATAGCATGCCAGAAAGATAAGCAATGCAGTATAGTTTCAGGACAGGACTGTTACTACTGTTGCGAGTGCCTGTATGGGATGGTTAACACAATGAGACTCAAATTTTCCTGTATACATATGTGAAGCAGAAAATGGCTAGCTGAATGATATTCTAGATTCTTGTTTAAAGATCCCGTTTTCACCAGCAAATCTGGGCCGTGTTTGGTGCTACTGTTACAGGTACCTAGTTGACTTTTCAGTTCCACTTTTGAACCAATTTCCCCAGTCTTGAGACCATATTTGTCAAACTCTTAACTAAATCTTGCGTTTATAGGTTCTTCCATGTTTGTGGACCATAATTTCCAGTGCAATGTCTCTGAGACAAAAGAAAACCAGGCATAGGAAGCATTTTGCTGCAGTACAAACCAGCCATAATATGCTCCTTAGTGAAATATTTGCTTGTGGCTGCTTTTTGCTAAGTGACTGGGCTGATGATGAAATGAAGTTGGTGTGGGCTAACTCCGATGCAGGCACTTTGCAGGCACAATTTTTGTTCAAATACCTATGCTCAGACACATTAGACCTAGAACTGTTATATTATTAAGAATATATCCATGAGTGGGCTGTCTTGATTGTATGCTCAAGTGCACCCTATCTGACAGGTGCAATCTTTCTGCACTTGCATATCACTTGCGCCCCATCTGTGCCTGTTTTTATAATTTGTTTGTTCATATGTTTAATGTTTTATAGATACCTTCATAAATAAATAAGTTTCAAACTGAAGCACGTAAGAGTCATTCTCACCATTTGCATAATATTAAAATCAGGTGGGAAATGTCAGCTAGGAAGTATTTGATAAGCAAGTTTAGGTGGATAGACTTTAAGCTTTCTTCAGTATATTTACATCGTTCTTTGGGAATCAAGCCTTAATATTTTTTATCTCTTGTTTTGTGTGTGTGTGGAAAAAGAAGAATACTCTCTCAGCCTAGTTGTGAAATAAAATTCATATTTTAGTGGTACTAGGTCACTCTAAAACAGTGGTTCCCAACCTTTAACCCTCCAGGTATTTTGGACTTCAGCTCTTACAATTCCTAAGCTGACTGGGATTTCTGGGAGTTGAAGTCCAAAACAACTGGAGAACCAAGGCTTGGGAACCACTGCCTAAAGTTATTGTGGAATTTGAGATTTTAAATCGCAAATGTTGCAGACCCCATCAAATTCTGCTGCAATTTTCAGTATTCTTTATTAACCTTAAATGTAACCGTTTTTAGATTACATTTGCTTTCTAAATTTATTATGATTATGATTTAGCAAGTTCCATTGTATTACTGCAATGTGATCATTTAAAAAAATAAAAAACACCACAAAATTGTTGACTCATAGGCATTTAGCAATGCTGTTCAGTTGATGTAGCATTTTCATGTATGGAGCCTGTTTTCCTGTCCCCATTCCAACTTGCTTTAATTGTAATTGTCTACATTTGGAAAGGTCTGTTATATCCACCATATGAGTGAGAGAAGTTAAGGGGCAAGAAATGAGCAGACAAAAATAAGGGTATAAGATCAAGAATAAGATACAGCTTCCCACTAATGTAATATGTGGTAGCAATTTTGTCAAATTTTGTAGTCCAATCCAGTTCTTGAATCAGATTTCCAGTTCTGCTTTGCAACATTAGTCGCTGAGGTATGCATGGTTTTCATCCTTTCCAAAATGAATATGTCCATGCCCTTCTGAGTGTCAATCAAAGCCTCTTCATTCTTCCTTGTAATTTTCATTGTCTTCCTAGGTGTTTGGTTATGCGTGTCTATTCAGTTATAAAAATATTCTTTTCATGTGGGATTTTACAGAAATTATTGAACTGAGTAACAAATACTTCCCATATTCAAATTCTTCCACAACTGATCTTAAAAGGATTTCCTAATGGGACTAGAGTACGCAATATGAAATCTTCCCTCTTGATGGTCTTGGTAGTGAATATACTAGCATCCCCTAATGTTATAAATGAAACGAATAGAGTTTACCACTTAAATCCACAAATGTCAGCCATAATGTGAAAAGTACTTTTGGTGTTATGGTACTGCTATATTTAGTACAGGTGTATCATAATTTTATTTTGTTTGAAATAAAAAACAAAAAAATATAGCATTTAGGAAGCAGATACCTAATATTTATTGGCATTTTGGGTCTATATCCAGTAATGACATTGTACTGGTGATTCCACGTTTTCAGAGTTAAGGTACTATCTGTTACAGTTTTTGTTGTTCAAACACTTGTGCAAATCAGTTGTGCAGGAAGCTGAGCAAATTGTTGAATGCCCTCTTTCAGAACCAGCTGTACGTGTGGCTCCATACCCACTTGTGAAACTTGGGGCACAACTGCTTGCATAAAGGTATTGTCCAGCAGAGCTCCACTAGTGAGGATTTTCACCCTGCTACCATTAAATTCGATGTAGGCATTTTTTAGGTCCAAAACATCAAGAGTTGATCTAGGACATTTTCAATAGCTTCAGGGTTGTCTTTTCATCTAGATATGTTAACAGTTGCACTTCTTTTAAATAATAATAATAATGCTATAATTGATATATAATTTTATTTATATTCCACCCTATCTCCCCAGAGGGATTCAGGGCAGATTCCAAACATAAAAGGCAAACATTCAATGCCTGAACACAACAACAATACACTTTAAACACCATTGCCTTGATCCAGCAGCTATCTCTCATGAGGACAAAGGCTCTGATACACCACAGAACTCCCACAGCTAGAGGAATCTCCCTGTTTACATCAGTAGTTTAATATCACAAGCCATTAGGTAAGCACATGGATCTATCCTGTGCATTGAAGTGAATGCGCATATTACAGCTCACATGGGACATTGAAACTTCATTTGACTATTTCACTCAAAATCAGGCTCTTCTGCTCTTTGCTGGTGATAAATTGAGAATCATTCCCAACTATCGCACTTTGCCTAGGTGGGACTGCTTTTACATAGACGGAAAATGAGATTTTGCTAATCAATGAACCACTTTTTCTTTCTTCCTAAAGGAAATGGTATTGCAGGTATTCAAACAGAATTAGGCAGAACATTGGGATGACGTTAACATTGAAGTTGTTGAAGACGGGGAGGGGGAATTGACAGGCTGCAAAATTATTCCACTTCTAACAATATGCGTATATGCTGTGTATCCGAAGACTTATGCTTAGGAGGAATGTTTTGCAAAATTTGTTTTGATAAGCTACATTTTAAAGAAAATCTTTAAATAGTGCTTATGATTAAGCTGATTGCATGATGTATGTATTGACACGGGAGATGTGGCAAAGAATAAAGGATGTTTTATTACAGCCCAGATTCAGCTGTGCTCAGCGAGCAGAGACAAACTGATATACAATCTTAAGTTACATATCTCCATTTTAACATTAATGCAAGGAGCACGGTAAAGCACAGTTCTAATATTATAATCTGTGTAACTATGTTTGAAAATATCTCTTCAACTTCAGAATGTAAAAATAACACTCACAGTGGTTACCTCTATTTTGGTTTGAGATTATAATTAGTTGTGCCTCTTTCCTGAGGTACTGAGGATGTAGATGAAATATATGTTGTTAGCCTTTACTATGCATTTAAAATTGCAGAACGATGCTCACTACAATTTGTACACAATGAGCTGCTTTCTTTTGTCCGGTGCAAACCAGTTTTCCTGTTTTTTTGTTCATAGTAAATTGATCTATTTTGCCCTGACCTCAGATCACAATTTCAAAACTATCACTTTTTGAAAATCCCCTTTGCTCCATCGCACAATTTCAGCTAGTAGTGGATTTTTTTTTCATAACCCATTTAAAGCATAGGCAAATGCAGGAATGTTGTTTTCCAGGATCAAAGAAAGTAGTTCATTACTAATAACATTTCGGTGACAGTCAAGTCAGAGAGATGAGTTTTGAGGCTTATAGAAAAGCCTTGATTTGAATTTGTGTCTCATTGGGCCTAAAATTTAGAAGTCAGTAAAAAAAATTGAAACAGTTCCACATTTAAGATATAAAAAAAAATCCAAACTCTGAGTTCTGTGATAGCAGTACAATATTGTTTTGCCTAATAGCCTTACATCAGGAGTAAATTAGAAAGTAATAGTATAAAGAGCACTTATAATATCATTTATTGTCTGAAATTTCACAGAACAGTGCTCTGCAGGTGTATTATTTCTAAAGGTTTTCTTTCCATTTCTATATAGATATTTTCCCTTCACATTTTGAAGGTTTGAAGAAGAGGATTGTTTTTCGAGTCACACTAAGTAAACATTAAATGCATGCAGGCTTAAAACTAAAGCATGCATGTTACGCAGCAGTAATAAAAGTGCTCGGCTTGCACGATTTACGATGCTCAAGCATTGCCTTGTTAAAATGCCAAAATCCCCCTTTTCTTTGCATTTAAAAAATTGAACTCTTTATTTTACATTTGGAATATTTAAGATTTTCAGTCTTTGGACAAATTAGATTTATTTTAGCAAATACTTCTGTGTTACAGATAAAGTCGATGAAATAGTACCAGTTTCCAAGCCATTAAGAATTCATGACAATGCAGCTGTGGACTCCAGAGTGGCAACAATTAAGCAACGCCCTTCTAGTAGATGTTTTCCCCCAGCGACAGATATGAATGTGAGTGATGGGTGTAATACAGGTCCTTAGAGCTGATACTCTTTGACTTGAAAAAACGGACTGCATAAGAATAAGCTTGGAAACGCTAACATTCCAAGATGCTAACAACATATTCCTTATTTACAAGAAAGCCAGAAAACTGATTTGTTTTGCAGTAAAGATTTCTCACAATGCTATCCTGTACAGCAGGGGCCCACAAACTTTTTAAACAGAGGGCCAGGTCATAGTCCCTCAAACTGTTGGAGGGCCGGATTATAATTTGAAAAAAAATATGAATGAATTCCTATGCATGCTGCACATATCTTATTTGTAGAGTAAAAACACTTAAAAACAATACAATAATTAAAATGAGGAACAATGTTAACAAATATAAACTTATTAGTATTTCAATGGGAAATGTGGGCCTGCTTTTGGCTGATGAGATAGGATTGTTGTTGTTGTTATGTACTTTCAAGTCATTTCAGACTTAGGTTGACCCTGAGCGAGGGCAGGGCAAATGACCTTGGAGGGCTGCATCCGGCCCCCGGGCCTTAGTTTGAGGACCCCTCCTGTACAGTATGACAAAACTCCAAACACATCTATAGTTTGTGTGTGGTAGCTGTGTGAAATTAATACAAATACTTAGAGATAATAAATATTTTACAGCAGGACTATGCACATACATAATGAGTAGTCAGGTGAAAGTCCACCTCACAGATTTCCTGTAGTATCTTAATCAAGCTTCTGAAATTTTAGCATTATGACTGCTGCAGTGAACACTTAAAAAATCTCTAGCTGCATCTTCACATAAATTTCTGGGACTTGTAGTTTAGGGAGGGGGATTTAAACTATTCAGCCAGGCAGGTCCTGGGCCTCACTAAACTACAAACCCCAGAAATCTGTAGGAGGCAGAAACCAGATTTAAAGTGGATCCATGCTGTAGTGTGATGAGGCTGGTGTTTTTGAGACCTCAATCAATTTATATACGAGTCAGTGCTGAAATAGGAACCGAACACAAAGACAGGAACAAGAGGCAGAGGTGAGAAGCATTCCCACCCCATTATTCCTATCTGGCCAAACTAGAGAATGGAAGACAGCCCACCTTCGTTCCTTACCCTTTTCAGCCTGAGCAGCATTCATCAGCAACATTAGGGAGTCTGAAGAATGTAGTGCATTGCTCCTTACTGGGCCTCCTAAAATGCATACCATATCATCCGTATATGCCTTTACTTTAAATCCATATCCTTTTATTTTCACTCCTTTGATGCCAATATCTTTTCTAATTCTAATGTTCAATATTTATAGAAACCAAATAAACAATATAGGTGACAAGGGGCAACCTTGTCTCATCATATTTTGTATCTCTATTTAGTTTGATAATTGACTATTTATTGTTTAGCTCTTAGTTTTGGATAAATGGTGAGAAGTACTTTCACCCCATTACCCCTATTTAGTACAAACCGGAGAATGAAAGGCAACCTGCCCTTGTTCCTTACTCTTTTCAGCCTGAGCAGCATTCATCAGCAACATGAGGGAGTCTGAAGAATGTAGTGCATTTGTCATTTTGGGTGCTTGAGGTGGAGCAGAGTGGTTATGGACATTTTTTATAAGTGCTTCCTGTATAAGCTTCTTTGCAGAGTTGGAATGGGACAGCCATTTTAAATAGAGACAGGGACTATTTTACAGGAAGCGTCTATTCAAAATGGTGGTCACAATCTCTCTTCAAAGAAGCTTATGCAGGAAGCCCTCATTAAAAATGCCCCCACTGCCTCATTCCACTTCAATATCCAAAATAGTAGGCATGCCACATTCTTCGGGCTTGCCTCTGTGGCCGATGATTGTCACTTGGACCAAAAAAATAAGATAATAAAAAGAGGAAGGACTGCCTTTCTTTCTCCAGTTTTGGCAAGAGAGAGAAAATGGAATGGAAGCTTTTTGCCTCCGCCTCTTGCCTCTGCACTGAATCCCTATTAGAGGGAGGTTACTTTCCCCCCCCCCCCCCCCCGGCCGCTTTCCAGGGTGCATTATCATTCTTTTTCCTCTTTATAATCCTTTCACTATTTGTATGGCCGTAGACATTTTAAGACCAGCAGTGAGATTTAGACATACCCATTGTAATCCTCAAATAAACAGATTTTATTTTCTTCGTTCTTCCTAAAAATGTTCACTTTATATGTTTTTAAAAGGACAAGAAAAGATTTATTTTTATGGTTCCCTAAGTTTTACTCTTAACTTATCCATGAGTCAAAGTAAGATGCATAGTTTTAACTTCAAAATCTACCCTTGATATTTAGGCCTTGGACTTACTTGTTTGTTTGTTTTATATAGTCCATGTATGAAAGACAAGGAATTGCTGTGATGCCACCTACAGTACCTGGGAGTATACAAGGCCCATTCCTGGGTGTACCACGAGGTACAGTAAGAAGACAAAAATCAATAGGTAAAATATAACTTTCTTTGTATTTGTTGAGTAGTTCCTTTTATTTCTAATTATTATTTTTTAGCTTTTTCACGAAGCTTGCTTATAATGCATTTATTCATGGATTAGCTTTGAAGCTTAGTCAAATTACCAGCAATAATTTGCATTATATTATAATACATTGCATTTTATAAGCATGACTGCATTTCTGAACTGAAATTTTTCTTTACAACATAGAATTCCTATCATTTTTCATTTATTTAGCTAGCTAAGCAGTAATATAGAAAACTGATTTAAAAATGTAAAATAAACAATTAGCAAGGTGACAAATGTTAGACTGTCCTTATCAAGAACTTACAAATACAAAGCAAATTGGATAATTTCAACGTTTATTTGATATTTCAGTTAAAACCAGTCACATGTGTATATTTAAAGAAATTTCAAGATCATATTCACTTTTGATTCTTTTTCTTACAGAAGACTAAATGTCTAAACTAATATAAGAATAGTTAAGAATGAAAATACTGATGTGAATTACTCACATAGATTGATGTTAACATGAAATCAGTCTTATGGATTATAACAGTGTTTTATAATCTATGCATCCATGATAAAATTAAATGGTCTTCTTTTAATTCAAATTAATTACCATGGATAGTAAGAAAGCACATGCCATTTCTGTTAATACTGATTCACTTTATTTTAAAGGTACTTTATTATACAACAAGTAAATACTATATATGCAACAAAATTAATCAAATATAATCTTGTTCTATAAAGCTGAATGTAAAATAATAGTCTTCGGGCTTTATTGTAGGCTGATTTAAATATCACAGTCAATCAAGCCAACCACATTAATTGCCAGCAAAAGTATCTGGCTTTGAAAGGGTTAGAATCTGGTACACTAAAGTCTTAAAGTAAAGTAGTGTAGCTGTCAGAGTTAAAGACATACACTAAAGCCTTCAAGTAAGGTTGTGTAGCTGTCAGATTTGCACACACCACCCAAACAACACTGGTTATGATCATCCCAGGTATGCCCCCTACAATTTGGTACAGAACACTCTGCCCACTTCCTGCCTATAGGAAGGCTGCCCCACAGCAATGGGGAGCAAGCAATCCCATAGTCATCTATCAACGGAAGCATTGTATGCTTTAAACATGGAAAGATTACCAAACAGCTCTATGTTGAACTGTCCTAAGAGTCTTTTTATATAAATGCCAAGTTTCAACTATTGATATTATTACAGATTTGAGAGATTGTCTACGTAAGGAACAGCTAGTGTTTGTATTTGCACTCCAAAATTCTACAGGTAGCTTGTGGAATTATGCTGAATATTACTGTTCTTTCCAGCATGAAATGTTGTACCTCAGGTAGCAATTTTGCTACCATGTTCTTTATGTTAATTTGGACAAATGGTCCACAATGTTTTTCAGGCTATTTCCTTTGTTTAGGCAGAAACATTGTTTTGTTTTATTTCATGCATGGCTACCTGTTCACAAATGCTCACTGACAGAACATTCTTTCTTTGTCCAATTTTATTCCATCTTTGGCCAGCACTTCCTCCTTTTATGCACATTTTAGAATAGCACACTGTCTGAATGCAGTTGTCTGTGCAGATATATAAGAAAAAGCAGCAGGGGAGATATGGAGACAAAGTCTAAATATAAGGTGTGCAAAGAAAAGCACTAGTGTGGACGCATTATAGAACCATGCAGTACATAGTATACGTAATACAGTATTGGCTGTAACTTGTTTACTATGTCTTTGGTGACAGTGGATGTTAATTGACATACAAGGGCAAATTAAACATTGTAGCTTGTGATTTTTTTAAAGGGATAACAGAGGAAGAACGGCAATTTTTGGCTCCCCCCATGCTAAAATTTACTAGAAGTCTATCCATGCCCGACACCTCTGAAGATATCCCTCCACCACCACAGTCTTTACCTCCATCACCACCTCCTCCTTCTCTTTACAACTCTCCCAAATCTCCAATGGCTAGAATATATGGAACAATTAAACCTGCGTTTAATCAGAATTCAGGTTCAAAGATAGCTATTTCAGGTAGATTTGAAAATATGGGGACAGTGATAAGGGACAAAGGCATATATTTCCGGAGAGAGATGGATCGTTATTCTCTAGATTCTGAGGACTTATATAGCAGAAATGCCGCAACTCAGGCAAGCTTCAGAAACAAGAGAGGTCAGATGCCGGAAAATCCATACTCTGAAGTTGGAAAAATAGGAAACAAAGCAGTGTATGTCCCAGCCAAGCCAGCGAGACGGAAGGGAATGCTAGTGAAGCAATCTAATGTTGAGGATAGTCCAGAAAAAATCTGCTCCATTCCAATTCCCACCATCATTGTTAAAGAACCATCTACCAGCAGTAGTGGGAAAAGTAGTCAAGGAAGCAGCATGGAAATTGACCCACAATCTTCAGAACAACCAGGACAGCTCAGACCTGAAGATAACTTGACTGTCAGTCCATTTGCAGCAGCCATTGCTGGAGCAGTGAGGGACAGGGAAAAAAGATTAGAAGCCAGGCGTAACTCTCCAGCATTCCTTTCCACAGATTTGGGAGATGAGGATGTTGGGCTAACACCTCCAACACCACGTATAAGACAGTCTAAGTTTAGTGATGATGGCATGTTTAGTAATGAAGAGAGTTTTAGGCAACTTGTATCACAGTCTCCTATCCCAGCACCTAGAGAATCTGAAAATATTTTCAATAGTAGTGAATTGAGTAATCAGAATGATGCAAGAATACCAAATTCTTCAGGCCAAACACTTCTTCAGGGTTCGGAAAATAATGCATTGGCAACTCAGAATGCTGGTATGTCCAGTTTGGATAACTATGTTCATCCACTCACAGGGAAATTACTAGATCCAAATTCACCTTTAGCCCTTGCCCTTTCAGCCAGAGATAGAGCGATGAAAGAGCAAACCCAGCAAATTCCAGGAAAAGGAGAATCTGGCAAAGCGGATCTTAATAAACCCCTTTATATTGATACAAAGATGAGATCCAATATTGAAACTTCATTTCCAGTGACAGCTACCGTTGCTAGGCAAAACACACGTGGCCCTCTGAGAAGGCAGGAAACGGAGAACAAATATGAAACAGATATGTCAAAAGAGAGGAGGCCAGAAGAAAAGAAGAACATGCTGATAAACATTATGGATACCTCACAGCAGAAGTCAGCTGGTTTGCTTATGGTTCATACAGTAGACACAACACAATCCAGTGATATTCCTGAAAATGAAGATGATAGTGTTGAAACAGATGTAAATACTGAAAAACCTCCACCAGAAACCCAGGAAAGTACAGGAGCAGTAGAAAGTGGACTGGATGCTGCTGCCATGCCTCAACCACCTGCATCTCCCTGCAAAACTATTGTAGCTGTTGGATCTGTCGATGAGCCCATCATTTTGCCATTCCGCATCCCTCCACCTCCTTTAGCATCGGTTGATCTTGATGAAGATTTCATCTTTACTGAGCCATTACCTCCTCCTTTAGAATTTGCAAACAGTTTTGATATCCCTGATGACCATGCAGTCCCAGGCTCTGCACTAGCAGAATTGCTGAAACAGAGAAAAAATGGAACTCCTTCAGCTTCATTCAACCCCATTCAGCCCTCAGATTCAATAGACAGTAAGAAACCAGTGGGTCTTTCAAACTGTTTGCCTGCCTCTTTTTTACCACCCCCTGAAAATTTTGATAATGTTACTGACTCTGGGATTGAAGAGGTGGACAGTCGAAGCGGTAGTGACCATCACCTAGAGACAACCAGCACTATCTCAACTGTGTCCAGCATCTCTACCTTGTCTTCTGAAGGTGGTGAGAACTTGGATACTTGTACTGTCTATGCAGATGGGCAAACATTTCTGGTGGACAAACCCCCAGTACCTCCTAAGCCAAAAATGAAGCCCATAATCAACAAAAGCAATGCACTTTACAAGGACGCGCTAATTGAAGAAACTGTAGATAGTTTTGTTATTCCTCCACCTGCTCCACCCCCACCTCCTATTAGCACACAGCCTGGTATGACTAAAGTTGTACAACAGAGGACTTCTAAGCTATGGGGAGATGTAACAGAAGTTAAAAGCCCGGTTCTCTCAGGCCCAAAGGCTAATGTTATTAGTGAATTGAACTCAATACTACAACAAATGAACAGAGAGAAATCCTCAAAGCCAGGAGAAGGATTGGAGTCACCTACAGGAACAAAAGCTTCAAGTCTTAGTACAAGGTAAATACAACTAAACTATTTTTTTCAAATCTGTGTATGCTATTTTAAGTTAAAATTTGCTTGGTTTTCATCAAGGTTATATTCTGGTACTAATTTTTGTTTGCTTGTTTTTGTTTTGAATGTTCTACAGTAGAAGTTAAATGAAAGCAGTGGATGACCTTTCTTTCCCCATTTTTCTTAAAGTGTGTGTTTGTATTTACTTTTCAGCAAAAAGGCTAAAATCCAAAGGTCACACTCTCTCTCTCTTAGAAACCAGGTTTGGAAGCTGTACTTAGTTCTGACTTGCATCCTTCAAAAAGCCATTCAAGAGAGTCCATGGACTCTGACTCTCTAAACTGGGAAAGTGCAGGAAGTTATCAAAATCATAAAGCCATGCAGATGTGTTTTTCATACACATCTAAGATTGTGATATCCCATCAGAATCTGCCTTACTTTTCAAACCATTGCACTTTGCCTTGTCTGAAATAACAAATCTCAAAAATGGCATTGCATAGGCATCACTATCTAAGACAGTGGTTCCCAACCTGTGTTCCATGGACCACCAGTGGTGTGCAAGAACTAAAATATTCAGTTCTTGTGGGTTTTTTCGGGCTATATGGCCATGTTCTAGAGGCATTTCTCCTGACGTTTCGCCTGCATCTATGGCAAGCATCCTCAGAGGTGAGGTCTGAAATAAACTAAACTAAAATATTGTCCGCAGCCTTACTGTTACTAAACCATTGCAACGAGAGCGACTGGTCTCACAAAATCCTTTTCTAGTGCTGAGGCTTATTAAATATGGTTTTCTGTGGACAAGCAGATAGCGACTACTGAATGACATATGTTCTGTATCAGAAACTAGAGCTGATGTGGTCTATCCAATGCAATTTTCTGAATCAGCACCCCAAATAACCACACTGATTCTAAAGTTGACCAAAAACTGATTCATAGCCCTTTTGGTACTAATGTTGGAGAGTGATCCCTGGTGAAAGTGGTCCCTGGTCAAGTGGTCCCTCATTTAAAAAGGGTTGGGAACCAATGATCTAAGAGAAAATCGATGTAGAAATAGGCTACGGCTTAGAATTATAGAATTAAATTAAATTAACCACATGGGCCATTCAGTCCATGCTGTGCAGGAAAAACACAATCAAAGAACCCCCAGCAGATGTCCATCCAGCCTCTGTTTAAAAGCGTCCAAAGAGGGAGCCTCCACCACACTCAGAGGCAGTGAGTTCCACTGCTAAACAGTTCTTATGATCAGGGAGCTCTTTCTAATGTTCAGGTGGAATCTCCATTGCTCTTAGTCCTAGTTTCCAGGGCAGCAGAAAACAAACCTGCGCCCCCTTCCTTATGGCATCCTTTCAAATATTTAAGCCTAGCTATTTTGTCTCCTCTCAACATTATCTTCTACAGGATACACATATCCAGCTCTAAAAGCCACCTTTTTTTTAATATATCTAATGCCCCATCTACACTAAGCATTTAATGTAGTTAGAAGCTAGCTTCAAACTGTGGTTGCAAACAACACACAAATGAAAGCACTTAGTGTACATCAGTGCTCTGATCATCTGGACCTTAAACTAGTTCTAGGATTTCCTGTGTAATCATCTGCATGGCAAAATCCCTTTCTTCAATACTGGTTTGAAACTGCATTAAATGGTCAGTGTAGCTGTGCCCAAGGTCAAGCCACTTTGGGCAATTCCATGAAATGAGTATATTTAATTAATTAATTTAATTTGAATTCTTTGATCAGAACAACCCTAAAAAGAAGACCATATGATATATAAAAACAAGAAGTGAGGTCTACCATACCTAATTTATTAGCAGGGTCCCAGGCCAGACTCTTAGCAGATTGTGAGAGGCTTGATGTTGTTGTGGCGGGGATTGTGGCGCACCGGGATTGTGGCGCAGCTGGCTGAGTGTCAGCTGCATTAAGATCACTCTGACCAAAGGTCATGAGTTCGAAGCCAACCCGGGCTGGAGTGGGTGTCCAGCCATTGTGTAGCCCGTTGTCGATCTTTGCAACCCGAAAGACAGTTGCATCTGTCAAGTAGGAAAATAAGGTACCACCTTGTGTGGGAGGCGAAATTTAACTAATTTATGAGGCCATAAAGAAAGAGGACTCCGGGGAATGTGGAATGCGGAAGAACTTCATCGGTGTCGTTGATGGACGATGAAAAGCAGCAGCTCCCCTGGCGGCCAGAAAAAAAAAGTTAAATAGCCTCGGTGTATTTGTCTGTTAAACGTTATTTGTCAAACTGGCATTGAATGTTTGCCATATATGTGTTTACTGTAATCCGCCCTGAGTCCCCTGCGGGGTGAGAAGGGCGGAATATAAGAACGGTAAATAATAATAAATAATAATAATAATAGTAGAAAAGTGGAAGTAGCCTCTTTCCATGCAGCTCAGAACCAATATAAATGTCCCCTAGAGTGAGGCCAATGAGCATTCCTATGATTAAGCTCCATCAAAGGGGTAGTGGAAATTAAACAAATGATAAGGCTTTTGTGCGTTGCTCCCGCATCACAAGTTCCTTCAAGTATGATTGTTGCTCCTTCTCCACCGTACTGGGCATACTGCTATCCAGTATACAGCAGATCCATATATGAATGCTTAAAATTGACACTGCTTTACTGTTTTACATGTGAGCTGGGCTTAAGTCCTTATTTTCTTCTGCTGTCACTTGATTTAAGGATTCAGAACTAATACTTCCCTTTGAACACATGTTGAATGGAAAATAAAAACCGGAGCCCCCACTCCCATCCTAAATTAAATAAATAAAATGCATTGCAGTTCAATGTGCCTTCCTTTTCAACATTATGTTTCAGGATCCAGTGAATCACTAAATTCAAACAGAATAATACAAGTGGCTATGAAGAGTAAGAAATAGCAAGGGAACAGTTTAGAATAAAATTGACATCATTTCATTCTAAACTAGAACAGTTTCACTTGGCTAATAATGGAACTACTGGGAAGACCATAGCAGTTATTACACTGCCAACATGAATCATTAACTGTTTAATTCAGCATAGATTTGGTTCTTATTCCTATTGGCATATGCTGAGTGTTCTTTAGTATATTATACATTCTGGTGATTACCGAATGCCACAGGTAAAGTACTGATTTGTAGGTGGTGGTGGTGATAATTATGACAACAATAATTACAACAACTATGATTGTGATTTTCACTAGAACATTTTCGATTTACTGATATTGAACTTGATAAATTTACAGGTCCATAAATAATCCAACAATTGAGATATGTTTTTAAACTGAACTTTATTGTGTCCATTACTGTCACTTCATCTTGTTGACTGTTTGTCTGCCAATTTTGCAGATACCTTTTGCTTTGTAATTTTATAGTGTCTCAGTCATTCCATTTTGTCATTTTATTTGCTCTCATGACTGCCGTTTACAGAAGAGGGTCATGCTGAACTGCCACGAAGTAAGTGACCACCAAAGGCATAGACTGTTCTACATTGTGCCTTCTGTGTTTTTGTTTTTTGGGTTTTTTAAAACCATGCATTGTATCATTTTGTGGGTTTTTTGTTTTTGTTTTGTTTTTCATTTGTAATCTAGAATATATCATGCTTTTATCCAGAAGTGGTACTCATTCTTTAAAATGAGGTCTGTGTGTCCAGTATTATGTACTTTCTTCCATAAACTTAAGTGCCACTTGTAGCACTCTGACAATGTGTGGCAATTGATTTTAAAATGAAAAAATGAAAAATAAAGCCAGACATTGACCATACCTTTGCATTAGTAAAATTAAAATAAATCACATGCATCATTCAAATTTTGTTGCATTGATGATTGTGTTTACTGCAACAGAATGGAATGTTGTATTGTTTGATGAATTTAAAATATGGTAGTTCAGCTTCCATGTGATAGATCGCTTGACTGCAATAGTTATTCTCAAAGGGAATGGAGTGAGGATTGGAAAGAGCTTCTGAGTTGCAGAAAACTTAAAATACAAAGGTGGGAAAGTTGACGTACATTCGCAGGGCAACCTAAGAACTGGTTTTGTAAAAAACTGAAGTGGAGAATGAAGCTAAAGATACAGATATGGCTAGATGCGAGAAATCTCTAAGGGTTTACCAACTGTTAGGATTTCTGGGAGTTGAAGACCAAAACATATGGTGACCCACAGGTTGAGAACCACTGGTTTATATCAAAGCGGAAAAATGAGGTAATGGTAACTCATCATCTTGACAGCTCTAGGGGCTGTACCTGAATTGGCCATCATAGACATTTCATAGCTGTACCTTGCATAGGATATAATCCAAGAAGCTGAGATATATATCTTGCACCAAAATTCTGAACTTGCATTCAGCAGGACGTTTTGAACATTCTGAGGTTTTAATTTCTGTAGCATATAAGCACCCGGTCTCTCATTTTGTGCACTCATTACCTGACAGCAATATTGAAACAGCTAGACCCACAGGTTGAAAACCACTGCTCTAAGGGATAGTGCATTTGATTCATGTGTGATTTAGGATGACAAAAGAAAAACAGTTATTTGAGAGGCTAGTCAAAACATAGGGTGCTAAAAGGGTGTTTCTGGTTCACAATCTAGACTTACCAAAAGAGTTCTACCACTAATAATTGTATTGCACATCATGATAAATACTTTGACATTGGTATGACTGAACTACAGCAAATGCTCCAACTCCTGGATTTTCAAATAGTCAAGGAAACAATGTTTTCAACTGAGTCATGAGAAACCAGGATTCTTGGGCTTTGCATCTCAATCAAGATAAAATCAGGATGGTGGTGGTGGTGGTGGTGATGATGATGATGATGATGATGATGACGACGATGACAATGATGACGATGATGATCTGTAATGAAGATTCTCTGGAAAAAAATTACTTGGCACTTGATGCCAGATTATGTAAGGAGGAAGACCAAAGGAGATTGTTATAGAAAGCAGAGATCTAATTAATCTGTGGGTGTGATGGAATTGATGAAGAAACAAAGCACTGGAGCCAAGTAGCAGTACTGTTGACAGGAAAAAAGA